CTACTCGGAGGCTGAGGCAGGAGAATGGCGTGAACCTGGGAGGCGGAGCTTGCAGTGAGCCGAGATCGCGCCACTGCACTCCAGTCTGGGTGACACAGCGCGAGACTCCGTCTCAAAAAAAAAAAAAAATTAAAAAAAAAAATAAAGGGGGTTGGTAATTTGACCTCAGCTTAAAATATGAACCACTCTTAGGAACTAGTTTCTGAAACTTCACAATCGTTCCACATTGTCACTCACACATCTCTCTGGTGAGGCTTCGAGAATTATTCTCATCACTGAAGGGACTTAGAATGGCACCTGGGAAGAGAAGAATAAGAGACAAAAATCTCACCTACTCAACTTGCTTTCCTTGTGTAACTTTGGATGTACTTTATCTTCAGAGAGGCCTTATTTGAAGCCACCTGCCTGGTTTCACATCCCAGCTCTTGCCAGCTGGGGAACTTGGGGCTGGTTAATTAGCCTCTTTGTACTTGGATTTCCCCATCTGTAAAATGAAGGCAAATAATGGTTGCTACTTCATGCAGTTGTTATGAGGAGTAAATGAGTTAATGCATGTGGATGCTTAGAACAGTTCCTGGCACATAGTAAGTGCCCAATAAACACTTTCTATCATTCTTATTAGCTTTCACGATGGTGGCACCTGTTGCTCTGAAAGAAGTTCCCATCTAGCCCCAGCCAGCTGCAGAAGAGCCCACAGCCGAGGCTGCCCAAGGAGGCAAACATTTCTAAGTTTTCCATTTCTCAAGTGCAAATACTTTGAAAGGCTCTTCAGCCCTTTCTTAAGCAACCTTCGCAGCTTATTGTAAGCCCTGCATTTAAGGGAATTGCTGGTATTTCAGAGGCAATTTTTGCTTTTTTTTTTTTCCCCCCAAGCCAAACTGTATCCAGCTTTATTAAAGATACTTTCCATAAACAATCATGGTATTTCAGGCAGGACATGGGCAGACAATCGTTAACAGTATACAACAACTTTCAAACTCCCTTCTTCAATGGACTACCAAAAATCAGAAAGCCACTATAAAACCCAATGAAGCCTTCATCTGATGCTCTGGACAGGGAAAGTTTAGAGTGAGGGTTGACATTTCACATTTAGCATGTTGTTTAACAGCTTTTCACAAGCCGACCCTGACTTTCAGGAAGTGAAATGAAAATGGCAGAATTTATCTGAAGATCCACAATCTAGAAATGGAACCAATGCTGTTTTGACAGGTGCCATCTCAGTGGTATCACTGGAAAGTCCAGATTGCCTGACACACTGGTAACCAATGACTACGGGTCAAGTCAATTCCCAACAGATGTCTGGGCTTAAGGGAGTTAAGTCTATGCTGAAAGACAGAAAGGGAGAAGAGGACATAAAAACAAATTTGTTTTTCCATACCACAAGGCTTTTGTGCCAAGGTGGCCATGTGTGTCAAAGTCAGGGAATCCCTCCTCCTGGGAACCAAGAGGAAGTCTCCCAAAACTAGAAGGGAAAGGTGTTTTCCCCACATCAATCCAGCTTCAGAGACATTCTATTAGTGACATATGCCCCTTCCCCCAAAAACAACAATGAAGTGTTCTGTGTGCTGACCACATAGCTTTAAAAAAAAAAAAAGTAAAACAAAATTCTGCATTTTTATAAAACTTGATAAATAGTATTTCAAACTGTACAGTCACCAGAAGTACACAGTTATCAAAAATGCACACACTTCACTTGGCATCTCCAGCACCTTCAGCTTTCTGTGCCTGGTCTGTTTTGGCATCTCCGTTTTCTACAGGGTTATTCCCCTCTTTGCCAGCATCAGCTTTGCCCTTTTTCCCTTTGGGTACCTTCTCTCCCTTCTTTGCAGGGGCCTTTTTAGGCTTGGGCTCTGGCTTTGGAGGAGCAGGTTTAGCAGACAACCTCGCGGATCTTCTCTGTGGTTCGTCCTTCACCTTGGCTTTATCTCCTTCAGCATCCCCTTCAGCCTTTCTCTTGGGCATGGTGGCGACGGCAGCGGGACATAGGTGCTGGACGCGGGATGCAGCGTGTGAGGGCTTTGGTCGGTCCGAGGGTCGTTCCCGCCTCTTCTTCTTCACACTGCTCCTGCTTTTTTTTTTTTTTTTAAAGGTGACCGTGAACTGAGAGTGGCTAAGGACAATGCTTCTGGCAGGACAGGGCCAGCCTTGGTTCTACTCATTCCTTGAGCAGATAATGGTCCATATGAGTGATAGAATGGGCTAGGACTCCAGGCTGGTCCACCTGATGGCTGCTGATGCCAGTGAACAGAAAGTCTTAAAATGGATGCTGCAGTTGGCATCCTGCGGCAATCTTCCCCCATCCTGTGCCTTCAAGGCTGCCATGTGTGTAGGTGGAAATTATTTTAATTGCCAACCTTAACTCTAGCCACCCTGCACCTATTCACTGACTGCTAACTGCCCCTCTCTCCTGCTCCCCTGCCCTGCTTTCCCTGCCCCTGCCTGAGATGCTCTGCCATTTCTCCTTTAGGACATGGCTGGAGCAGATCCAGCAAGGCAGAGTCTCCAGTGCCTTTTGTCTTCTCTGGAGGAAGCGAAGCGTGGGTGTGGCTGGGCTTGTTGCTTCAAGAGGAAAAGGACGAGGGTGTGCTGGGTAACAGGTGTGCAGAAATGGTGACGTGGCATTTAAACGATGGAGTATTTAAAGGGTAAGGGGTGGGTAGAAAATGTACCAAGATATTTTGAGGGCTAAATTTGTTCTGGAAGTTAAATGCATAGAAAGTGATGAATCAGAAGAAAAAGAGTCACTTAAGATTTTTAAAGCTGTTGGGTTGCCCAGGTGATTCACAGGTGTTTTGTGGATGGTTGGTTATTAGCAGTAAACATTTACATAGCAGCACACCTCCTCACATTTCATTCATAAACCCCTGGAATGTTAGTGATGGCCGGGAAACCAAGACCCAGATTTGCTCAAGGCCACAGAATTAGTTTGTAGCTGAACCAATGGGAGAGCCCAGGTCTCCTGGCTTTGTGCTGCTACCTGCCAGGCGCTTCCGCCTTGCTCAGTTAACTTGCCTTGTAACACCTAGTGATGAAGTCAGAAACTGGCCACGGTGTTCAGCTGGAGGAGTAGAGAGGCAGGAAGGGGAGTGATCCACACTGACCAAGCAAGAGGCTGTATTTGACCTTTCCATTTCCAGACGTCCTTTCTGAGCCCTCAACCCTGGAAACATCACACTTTCTTTTACCTGTTTATCTACTAGGGTTGTCTCTCTTAGAGCTCTCAGCTGTCCAAGCAACTTGACTTTTCCCCTTTGCCCCATCCCTACCCACCTTGTGTCTAATCAATCACTGAGACCTTAAATTCCACCTGTTTAGTATTTGAGTCACTCACTTTTCTCCATCTGCCCTATGACTGCCATCTACCATAAGCCTATTAATAAGCCTCTTCACGTCCACTCTTTATTCCCTCCTATCCATTCTCCCACTTCCTAAAACATAATCAGGTCACTCTCTTGCTGAAAATCCTTCCAAGCTCCCAGCGGCCTCTGGTTAAATGAAGCCCCCTCACCTTAGCACAAGGCTCCTGCCCCTCTCCTGACTTGTCCATTGCTCCGCCTCATACAGCTCTGCAGTCAGAAGGATGCTCAGTTCCCTGACCTCATCGTGCGGTGGATACTTTGGTGATGGGGCCAGAGGGAGCCAGAGAAAGATCACAGGAATGGGGAGAGAGGGGGAAAGGCTGAACCTGGCTGTACCGAACTGTCTGCCAGCATGGAAACACCTGCTTTGTACGGGATATTCTCAACCTAGAGGGCACTGTCTTCAGATTCAGAGGTGGGCGGCACCTATCCAAGCAAGGCTGCAAACGAAGCTGTCTCTCTTTCCACATGGCTTGTCCTGATTTGATGAGCAAAGCACAGCGACCCATAAGAGGCATGACATTTCTTAGTGGCTGTATGACACTGAGCTAGTCACTTAATGTAATGAAGCTGTGGGCCTCAGTCTCCTCATCTGTAAAATGGGGATAACAGTTGACCTACTGTGTGGCTGTCTTTTTGTTTGTTTTGGCTGCACAGCCTATGAACCCCCTTCCGTGTTGGTGATCCACTACTATGTGAGCTTCCGTGACAGGAGCTATCTCCCACTGGGAAGCTGAAAAAGCCAGACGCTGTGACTGACTCCTGGCAGAGAGGGAGTGAGGTGCTCATGCCTAGGTCTTCATGTCTTATGAATAATGCAAAGATGCAGGCTCAGTTGAGAGTGATTCCAGTAGAGGTGGTGGGGTGGGGGGTTGCACTGACAGTGACAGTAGTGGTGGTCACTGTGCTGTCCAGATCCCTTCCCACGGCATGACCTTGCTTGATTTCTTCCATGCCTTCTTGTCAGGTCTGGGAGCAGCCGGATTTCCTCCAGTGCATTCCATTGATGCTCATAAGGGGACGAGAGTCAGTTTCTGTGGATGGGACCGCGAGTCTCAGCTCACCTGCTTGGTCCCCAGCTACTTCACAGGGTGCTTAGGATGGGCTTGCTCCAGTGCTGTTGGAGTGCAGCTCAGTAGGGAGTGGGGAAGCCCCGGGGCTGGGAGTGTAGCATCTACTGCACACACTTATTAATAAAGCTGAAATAATAATGCTCAAAATGACTGATTCAAAATTATATTGAATAGCAGTTATTCCATTGTGAGGATGAGATATTGTGACTATGTTTTGGCAAGGACAGGGAAAATGGAAGACATTCTCCTTATCTTACCAACAGAGAGCCTTTCCACTCCTCCTCCTCCATGTCTTAAGTTTAGCTTAAAAATATATATTTGAAAACAAATGGGGAAAGGCACATGTCCATCTCCATAGACTGTCAGCACCTAGGAGCAGACATTTCTTTCTGCACTGAGTCTGTCAGGTCTCGAGGCTGGCTTTGGTGGCCTCCCTGATCAGGAAGGACAGAAAGACACTCCTGCTAGCCATGGCCCAGGCTTTCCTCTAGGAGTGGACACCTTCCAAGCTGAGTTTGGGCCTCACTTGGCTGCAGCAGCAGCGGCAGCAGCAGATTAACGTGATCTCCAGCCCTCCCTGCCCTGCTCAGGAGGATCCATGAGCTCACCTCTGTTTGCTTAGATCCCTGGTCCTCAGGAAGCAGGCGCCAGGGCCCGCAGGAGGGCAGCCTCCCGCTAATTTGTCACGTTAACTGGTCTGGGCTGGATATAAAAGATATGGAGTTTTCCTACCCCATTGCCCAGGTTCTGTTGTTTTGGCCTCTTTGGAAAACATTGAGGCACAAGAGCCTGAAATGTGCCCCTGGGGATAAAAAGGACTTGCGTTTGAGCTTTCATCCTGGCTCCCCTCCGGCTTAACTGCTATCTCTGGGAAAGAGGCACCTTGAAGACAGTTACTTAATTACAGCGTTTTTTGTTTGTTTGTTTTCTTTTAATGTTTCAAAGAGCAGGTTGTCAGGCTGACTTATGTGAAAGCAGAATCATTAACCTCATGAATAACTCAGTGCAATGACCAAGGAGATGGAGGTCAAGGTGGCTGCTGAGGTGGGGTTGCAAGGTCCCTGTGTGCCTCTGCAGGGAAACACACAGCCACACTGCCGGCCTGCCATGGGGGTCGGCTCCAGCTTAGGGCTGCATGACCTCCCTCCTCAGTGCTTTTCCTGGGGCAGCCCACACGAAGCCCAGCTGCTGGGGGCCTTGAGTGGGTTGGGGCTGTGGGGTGAGGACTCTGATCTGGGGCTTTGGAAGGGGTGCATGTTCACCTGGAGGTACGGAGCAGCCCAGCAGCCCACATTTCCTTCAGCTCTTTGGACCTCAGTTTCCTCACCTGTGAAATGATCCCCAAGCTCGTTTCTAAGTCTAGCTTTTCTTTGGTGCTTCTGTATTTCCCACAAGCCTCTTAGGTGTCAGGTGGCTGGGCTATGGCTTTGGGGTCCCAGCCACTGCCATTCTCTCTTTTATCAACCATTTCAGCTGGCAAAAGCTGCGGCCCCACACAGGCCACTGGATAAATGTCCCACTGTTTCACGGAAACTGCCTGTCTGGAACTGCAAGGGCTGATCTCGGTAACAAACAAGGAAAGCTGGGGTAGAGCTCCCTGGTTGTCTGAACTGGAAACTGGCCACTTGCTATTTCCTAAGACCAAACTGATGAGGGACCCTGGGGACACTCAGACTGTGGATCCCAGACATTAGACCATCAAAGTTTTAAAGCAGTGAAAAGGGGAAATTTGATTGCTTAAAAAAAAATCTGTACCAAAAACATTCCATTTTAACCAAATAAGTTTATTTGATTATACACAGAGTACTATTGAATTTAAAGGAAGTTAATATGAAAGTTCACGTGTTTCCTTCTAAGCTAAAAGCTGGTGTTAGTACCAAACGGACAATGGCTGTGAAGGGGAGCAAAGCCATGGCAGATTTACCTATTTGGTAAATCTTTTTCTTTTTTTTTTTTTTCTTTTTCTTTTCTTTTCTTTTCTTTTCTTTTTTTTTTTTTTTTTTTTTTTGGTGGCAGGATCTCACTCTGTCACCTTAGCGATCTTGGCTCACTGCAACTTCTGCCTCCCAGGTTCGTGCGATTCTCCTGCCTCAGCCCCCCAAGTAGCTGTATTAGAGACGCCTGCCACCACGCCCAACTAATTTTTATATTTTTAGTAGAGACAGGGTTTCACCATGTTGGCCAGGCTGGTCTCAAATTCCTGACCTCAAGTGATCTACCCGCCTCAGCCTCCCAGAGTGCTGGGATTACAGGCATGAGCCACGACGCCCAGCCTGTAAATCTTTTTAAAAGTTCAACTTTTAAATCCACCCTCTCAAACCACTCTTTAAAAACCCCATTCTTGTCACCTTGAGAAAAAGCGAAAGAAAAAGCATTGCTTTTGCTACTCATTCAATACTATTTGAGTGAATCAGAAACACGGGCTTGAAGGCCATGCCTGGGAAGGCCTCTCTGCTCTATCACTTACCTTCTGGAAGCCTACACCCTGCTGTCCACTGTCCCAGCCGAGGTGTGATGAGTTGGTTCTGTCTCCCTCCACTTCTGCAGGTATCCCTTTATTCTGACCAGAAAGTCCTTCTTGTAGAGAGCAGAAATCTGACTCTAGAACGTCCCTGCAGAGTGCATGGAAAAC